TACCATTTTCGATACCACAAGGATAAAAACAAAGACCCCAAAATTTAACTGAATTTTGACAGGTTAGTGTCTTTAATTTGAAACTGACCTGTTACTGATGTTATCGTGACTGGTGGCCCGTATTAATGACCCTAATCCTAACCCTAACCCTAACCCTGACCCTTCATAATTGTGAGAAATAAATATTTTTGGGTTAAACTTGTTTGGACTTATTGTACAAACCTCTTTAACATCCACTATTTTAACATAATATTATGGATAGAGTTTAATTAAGTGTTTGAAAGATTAATTTCATTATTTTTAAATTAATGTCTATATTGCCATGATGCATTACTATTTTCTTACCTGGGATTTCCCTTTTGGTGACGTAATCAAAATGGCCGATTTGGATGTGGGCTGAGACGGATATGTACTTGATTAATGGTAGCATGTTATTATTAGCCATTAGCCGCAGCTAGCAGTTCAAGGCTAACGTCACGTTAATGATCATAAACAACGTAAATAAATACATAAATAAATCTGAAAGAAGGGGCGCAGCGACGGCAGGTCAGCGGGCTCGCATGGGATCGCGCGGTGGTATCGATACTTTTGAAAATGAGTATCGTATCCGGATACAACATTTTAGTATCGATACTTTTTTAAGTATCGATACTTTTGACAACCCTAGTGTATATATATATATATATGGACATCACAAGAAAACTTCTTTAACTTCTGTCTTTGCGTATTTCCACTGATGGAGTTGTTCATTTGGCTGTGTTGGTAACCAGATAGCATCTAAACATTTTTACAGAACCCTCAGATACGTTTCCCCAGGTTTTCCCTTCTCTTCTGGAGGAGTTAACAGCTCTGTGATGTTCCTTTGATACTCTGATAAACCTGATGCAGAAAGTTGAAGGTTTTAGAGACTCAGAAGAGAGATTCTGGCTCAGAAGAACCTCTGAGGTCCAGATCAGATCGGGGGGGCAGAGCTCCACTCTGAGCTCTTTAACCTCTCTGCTCTGTGTTGTTTCCTCTCTGCAGGACAGACAATCTACATCAAAGCTGAAGCTGGACAGGACTCAGTCACTCTGCCATGTGGAGCTGGAAAGGGGAAAACCATCAGAGCTGTGGAGTGGATCAGACCTGATCTGGATCCAGTTTTTGTTTTTTTGTACATAGATGGTCACTTTCATCCAGAACGCCTGCATCCGTCCTTTAAGAACCGGGTGGATCTGCTGAACAGACAGATGAAGAATGGAGACGCGTCTCTGATTCTGAAGGATGTGATGATAAATTATAATGTGACATTTGTGTGTACGGTCACTCAGGGAGCAGAAGGCCAGAAGATGAACACCTCCATCCATGTTTTCGTTTCTCCCCCAGGTGAGTGTGTGTGTGTGTGTGTGTGTGTGTGTGTGTGTGTTCCTGCTTGTTGGTGTGAGAGGGAAACATCTCAGATCAGGTGTTTGGGTTGTAAAGATGCTGCTGATGAGACTCTGTAGAAAGCAGCTGGTCTGAGTGCAGTGATCAGAGTGCAGGAGATCATGTGGGACAGCAGTTTGGAGAGGAAATGGATTCTGTTGTTCTTCAGCCAGTCGCTTGTGCCTTGTTTTTTATTTATGTGGGAAGATTTTCAATCTTCCGGGTCACAGTCAAGAAGTAAATGTTGAAGTCTTCTCAGTGCCTTTTCAGCTCAGATAACTCTGTCTCTCTCCACCCCTCTCTCTCTTTCTCTACCTCTGTTTATCCCTCTGTCTCTCTCTGTCTCTCTCTCTACCCCTCTCTCTGTCTCTCTGTCTCTCTCTCTCTATGAACTGGTGACAGGAGAAGCTGATCATTATTGTATTTACCAGCAGAATCTGAATCTCTGAGTATTAAAGAACAGTCCACTTAGCATGTCTGACCCCTCACAGAACCCCCCCCCTCTCTGGTGAATGGTTCAGGAGGGCGGCGTCGTGTTGCTCGTTTATCCGTGCAGAACTGTGGAGGTGATGATGTAACGGCATGGTTTTCTTCTCCTCAGGTCCCTCTACGTCCACGCCAGCATCTCCGAGAGACGCCAGCACCCCCTCTGATGGTCCGAGTGTTGATGCTGCTGTAGGTTGGAGTGTTGGTGGTGTTTTGGTTGTTGGTGTTTTGGTTGTTGTGGTGATTCATAAAAGGAGGGAGATCTCACAGCGTACTCGTGAGCCCGGCCACTGTTTGAATGCTCAGAGTTCAGTGGTCTGAATAATAATGTTAGGAGTTATGACAGCAGTAACACTATGCAGAGTAGTAGCAGAGCAGAAACACGGGGGGCAGCAGGAAACTCCCAACCACAGATCCAGACCCCACAGCTCTAGCATAAAGGAAAGTCTTAAGCCTACTCTTAAATATAGAGATGGCATTATTCTAAGTGCTCTCCTTTAATCTTTTAAAAGTAAAAACCACAGTGGAGCAGACTAAGAACAAAGCGACAGTTAGGTTTGATATGATCCAGCTCATCCAGTTACGGAGGCAAAAGAACAGCTAATGTTTTCTTAAAAAGAAGAGACACTTAATCAAGTGAACAAAAAAGTGTTTAAAGGGGGTGTTTCCAGTGATTTAGTTTTATCATGTATAGTCACTAAGTGACCTCGATATAAAAAAGAAAACACAAGTGTTAACTATAATGCGGCTGTTCCTGTGGAACAGCTGTGAGAATAGCAAGTGGTGAAGGGAGGAGGAAGAAGAGGGCAAAGAAAAGCTGAAAGAGACAGAGTAGAAGAAAAAAGGCTGAAGGGAGGAACAAGTTTAAAGAGCTGAAAACTAGAGTGGAAGAAGAAAGCTAGAAGGATTAGAAGAATAAAGAGTGAAAGGCCATATTACCTCAGGGGCAGCACAGGAACACAGGAAAAAAGGGGCTGTAATGCCGGTGACCAGCAGAGGGAGCCATAGTTTTTACTCCATTTATCTCAATGAGTCAATGAGAGGCATTAGAGGTTAAATAACCTGAAAAGTTGAAAAGATTTCCACCCCAAAAGTCACAGCTGCATAGTGCCTAAGGAACTGAACATTTTGAAGCCGTATTATTTTTAAATGGGCTGAGAACTGTCGGTGTAGTTAGACACAGAAGGAGTGATACGGGAAATCAATTCACAATAATGTGAACGGCCTCAAGTGACTCGTGAGGCTGCAGCAGAGTTGTAGAATCCTTTTCCAGTGTTTACATTTCAGGTCAACGACCACCGCTGGCTGCCTCCAGCAGGTGGCAGCACGTTAGTGTGTGTGTGTGTGTGTGAGTGTGTGTGTGAGTGTGTGTATGAGTGTGTGTACATGCTCATGGATTGTTCTCAGGACAGATGTATTATTTGTTATTGCACTATATTATGGATTGATTTACAGCAGAACCTCTACTAATGATTGGCTAAACATGAACTTTCCAATATCCAAAATGAAATTTGATCAAATATTCGATTCGACACCCAAAGGACATTTCTTTTTAAACATCACGTAAATATAAAAATAATCTAATAAATAAAACCCTTTTCATTGATTATTTCTTTTTCCATCTCTCTCCTATAAGTCATTAGTTTTCTTGCTATGTGTAAGAAATGATAGGAAACAGTCTATTCTGATGGAATATTTGAACCAACACACCAATATTTAAAACAGAAGTCGCTCCTGGAAACACTTCGACTCTGTTATAGAGGTTCTGCTGTGATCTTTCTCAGACCTCCGTTTGTGGAGTAGTTGTTACCTCAAAACTGTTCAGCTGCTACATGAAAAGCTTTGTGTTTTAAAGGCTGGATTTAAAATCCTGCGGTAGCTTTAATGTGTTGAACTCAGACTGAACGCTTTAAGGTCCGATTCAGCTTGTTCATGTCAGACCTGAAGTCAAATGTGTTTTGTCTATTTATTTTATTTTTTTAATGAAATTTTTCCACTGTGGTTATTTAATAAAATATTGTTTACGAGTCCTGTTTGTGTTCTCTCCATCTGGAAACACTTGAAGCTTAAAGGGAGAATCTGAAAATCGACTTTTCCAGCTGGAAGTCATAATCTTTTTCTCTCTTTTCCCCCCCATAACCGACAGGTCCAGCTCTGGTCTCAGTCGGTTCAGTTTCTCTGGAGAAAAAGGCAAAGTTCACATGTTTTACACACAGCAGATCTTTAATAAAAAGCTTTCCCCCTCAGGGGTCAGAACGGCCTCAGAACTGATGCTCTGTGGTGATGTCATCGTAGTCACCGTCCAATCCCGGCTCAGCCTGGAGGGGCGGGGCCGTCGCCACGGAGACGGGCTGTTTACTTCCTGTAGTCAGAGCAGGTGAGAAAGAAAATGAAGAGATCAATAAAACATGGAGAGTTCAGTCAGAGAAACCTGAAAACCACTGATTGATTGGTTGGTTGATTGATTGATTGATTGATTAATTGATTGGCTGGTTGGTTGATTGATTAATTAATTTATCAATATATTAATTGACTAATTGGTTAATTGATTAAGGGGTTAATTGACCAATTGATTTACTGACTGATTGGTTGGTTGATTGATTGATTGATTAGTTGGTTGATTGATTGATTGATCAACTGGTTGATTGGTTGATTGATTGGTTGATTTGTTGATTAATTGATTGATTGATTAGTTGGTTGATTGATTGATTGATCAACTGATTGATTGATTGGTTAATTGGTTGATTGATTGATCAACTGATTGATTGATTGATTAGTTGGTTGGTTGATTGATTAGTTGGTTGATTGATTGATTGATTGATTGATTGATTGATTGATTGATTGGTTGGTCAGCAGCTGGGTGAACGTTACCTTTGGCTCTGAGTCGGTACA